CTGGTAACCTCCTCCAGACAACTCTGGAGACTCTGTACATCCTCCATAAAGTTCTTGAAGACTTCAGAGGCTTTCTTTCGTTGTGTAGCATTTACTCCAACCTCTGTTGCAGTGGTCACAGCACTGTTGACTCCACTGGTGATTCCCAGCCCGACTCCAGTCATTGTCAAAGCTAGAGAAACTCCTGCTGTGAAAGGAATTAATGCCAAACCAACAATGGACAGCACACCTCCAACTGCCCCCACGGAGCTGCCTGCCACACTGGAAATCTTTGCCCCCTTATTCATTCTGTCTAACTGAACAGCTGTCTCCTCCAGCTCCTTTAGAAACTGCAGCATGGTGGGCTGTCGCTTGTCGAACTCACTAATGAACCCATGGCATGGTTCCTCCTGGAACAAGAACACCATTCGGAACTGCTCGTTCATCCTGAGAGAAGAAATTTAAAAAGAATTAGTGGGGTGACACATTTTAAAATGTCACCATGTTATTGCAATATTAACACTATTTAGGTTTAGTTTTTAAGGTTACATGACCAACAAAAACATGTCATGTGTCCTGCAAAACATTTTTTTGGTTGCAGGGATAAAAGTCCTCTCTGCAGCCCATGAACAAGACTAGAGGTTTAACCTCCCACAACCCAAACTCTTTCAAGTCATGCATTTTTAATTTCTCTTTGCTATTTGGGCTGATTGGGACCTGATGAATGTAAAAACAAAGAATTACCTGATTTTTGTTTCTGAGAGAAATGAGATCCACATATGAGGACATTCATTTTAAATTTTGATAGAGCAGTGGCAGTATAATGTCCTCGAAGTGGATATCAGGCCCTTGTAGAGCAAAATTTAGTATTTTGACAACCCAAATTGTGATGTCCACATATGTGGATGCCAGGTCCCAGGAGGTTAAGGAACATTTACACTAGCTTCACTTTTAAGATCCAGAAGCTACATCATTTTTTGTATAGTGTAGTGTCCAGACCAAGCATATTTATCAGGGGTCTCGAACTCCAGGCCTCGAGGGGCAGTGTCCTGCAGGTTTTAGATGTGTTCTTGATCCAACACAGCTGATTTAAATGGCTAAATTATCTCCTCAACTTGTCTTGAAGTTCTCCAGAGGCCTGGTAATGAACTCATCATTTGATTCAGGTATGTTGGCCCAGGGTGAGATCTAAAACCTGCAGGACACCGGCCCTCGAGGCCTGGAGTTCAAGACCCCTGATGCACTAGGAGTGAAACCGGTCTCACTGCAGTGGCAATGTCTACATCACAGCACCAACATCAAAGGACATCTTATGCAGGACAGTAGGACACCAGCAGTATCTGAGCCCTGAGATAAGATAAAAATAAAAAAATAAAAAAAAAGAGTTCTGCACTGACACATATTTGGGAACAGAAAAACTTACCTGATCTCATCAAGCTGATTTACGTGATCAAGCATTCTCTGTATGTCATCCTCAGACAAATCCACATCAAGATCAACCACAGTTTCTACAGCCATCTTCAGACCAAAGTCACTGAAGCAGCTGTGAAGAACGCAGGTCAACTTATTTTATACAATAGATGATACTTAATGTGCAAAATTCCTTAATATTTTGTATATCATTTATTTGTTTACCTTTTGTCCAACTTCTCACAGATTGTCTTGGAGGTCTGTATGTATCTGTCCAGCTGATATGCCAGCACTTCCACATTCTGAAGTTTGAGAAGGAAGAAGACGTTGTCGTCTCTTTTAAAATCCAGCAGCAGAGGACAGATCACTCGTGCAGCCAAGATGACAGCCTGAACATACTCAGGACTGATCCCTTCTGGAAGGTGTAACACCTGGTTCTCCGTGAACACATGCAGCGAGGTCACTGCCAGCTTCTCCACTGCATCCAGGAAGCTGCTGAGACTCTCCAGGCCACTTGCAGTGTCCTTCAACACTTTGACCAGCTCATTCTCCAGCGCTACACGCTTGCTGTCTACATTCACAGTCACCTTGCTCTTCATATACTCCACAAAGGCTTTACCTTTTTTCTCTGACTTAGTAACATGGTTGAAGTTTAGGTCAAGTGCTTCAAGTCTATCTTTGATATCCCTCATCATTTCTACCTCGGTGTCTCTCCAGAGCATCCATTTAGAGAACATCTCACAGAATGCTCTCACTGTGTGGATGTAGGTGAGGGTGTCTGTGGTGTAGCGGCACAAGGCCTCCTGTAGCTCCTTTCTGTAACACAAAGCATCATCTGTTTGTGAGGTTTCTGGGGGAATTCAAACAAAACTTGTACATGACAGCTCGGTCGCAGAGCTCAGTATAAAGTGCACTACAGAACAACTTAAACAGTTTAAACACTTTTATTTAAAATGTGTGAATGCAGTAGAGTGTAACCAAAATATTATAAAACCTTCCTCAACTTTCAGTCACAGCAAGTTAATGTGACACTTTTATCTCAAAGTGTTGAGCCTCACTGCCCACCTCCCCTACAGTTCAGCTTCAGTTTGCTAATATTAGATTAGCAAAGTGTGAATCCACAAATCACTCATGTCCACAAAATGACCCAGCACAGTACAGAGTCCAAAACAAAACCAAAAAATTATTCAGCTTCAGATTTTATTTTGCTAGTAGTACTAAGTGGGTAGCACTTTATCCACAACAGCTAATATTAGAGGTTTTCTACCAAAAACTCAATTCGTGGAAGAATTTTTGTTTGATCTTGGGCTAACATGATCTTGCCTGCAAGCCCATTAAATAGCTGCCTATCGAATGAAGCAAAATACTGGTTTTCAGTGCATATTGTCAATGAATTTATCCCTGAGCTTACGTAGTACTTGGTAGCTTAGCATTTGAAAATGGCTTTATCAGCTAAAGTTACAAATTAACCATCGATACATTTACACATCCACAGTGGCGTTTGGTCAAATTATTTCCATTTTGGACGCTAGATGGCTGAGCTCATAGAAACTGACAACTAGGGATTGACAAGTTTTTGTTTACGCCTGTACAATACTGACCTATGCCTGATTGGATGAACAGACGTGGGCTGTCTGCCCAAGTTCCTTTATCTCAAACCAATGGTGGTGAAAGTTCATCACACCAGATGCGTCTGATTTGTATAAATTAGAAGGGGCATACATTTTGAGCAAATGAGGAGCAGGCTACAAAACACAGTGTGTCGATGTGCCTGATACTCAGGCATTAAATACATGTACTGATCTCTCAGTTAATATACAACATTATATACACAATAGAGCATCATAAAATTACAGGGTAGTCATGCGCAAGTCTCATTATGTACTAAAGGGCTTGGTGAGACATCATCACATCCAGTCAAGTCTGGCCACTTTGTTTCCAAAATCCTTCCACTACCCTAACCTGGATGAATGAGAGCCTACACAGACATCTCTTCTCACATAACAGGCCTTTTCACAGTAGAAGAATAAATTAAAAATATCAAACTGAATAAATACAGCTGTGTGCTCTGCCATTGTTACTGCTGAATATCATGGAACCACCTTTAACATTATAAATCACACACTACTGTGCTTTAACAAGTACATGTTAAAATGTCTTTTGCAGAAATCACTATTCATCTTTAACCTTCTTAGTTGCTTTTTTATAATATAACCACTAGATGGCGCCAAATTACAAAAGGCTATGGGTCAGTAAATGGAGTTATTAGGACAGGTTTTAATAAAATGGTGTACTGCAATTCTGTGTTTTTCCTTTTTTTTTCTTTTTTATATATTTCCTCTGTTTTGTCCTGGTGCTGTTGCTGTACACCAACAGAAGATATAGCTCTTATTCTTCTTCGTTGGGTGTGTATTGTGTATAATGTGCTTCATCATTTTCAAATTTATTAAAAATCTGAAAACTTGAATATTGTTACCCAAGTCCTGTGCTGATGGGACTTTTATTACTTATTATAAAGCCCGACTTCAGACATGCATAAGCAGGTAACATTAATGTGACTAAGTCATTTTGCTCTAGAGGTATTTTCTTCAGGCCTCAATGTTTAGAGTGTTACAAAAACACCTGGGATATTAATTAGCAGCACACTCATTATCAGATTGTTAATATTAATGCAACAGTGCTCATGTATCATGTCTGTTTTAGTTGCAGTGTTTATGACTTAACCACAGACTTTGTCCTTTAATACATCTCTGTATAAATTTTTTCTATAGCCCCTCCAAACGTTTATGTAAGGAGCCATTGTGATGAAAAGAAAGAAAAAAGCAAAGATATGTTTTTTGGGGAGGGGACATTGCATATTTGTACATTTTTTAGGTTTAAAAGATTAAAATACGAAAAGGCTAAAAGTCTAACCGCTAACAAAGAGACACGTTTTCGTGTAAAAACCAGCAGTCCCATCACAAGTTTTTAAAATTAAATCTAACATGAAAACTTTGATGTAACCGGAACTGCAGCTGATTAAAGTGAAAGTAGATACGTTGAAGTAAAGTGGTCCTGTTCCTCCAACGATTC